TCCTCCTGGTTGTGATAATTGTGCTATAGTTTTGCACGATGGATAAATTGGTTAAAGGGCACATGGAACCTCTGTATTATTTCTTACAACTGCATGTGTCTATAATTATCTTAAAATTAAAAGTTAAAAAAAAATGCCTCAGCTACCGTTAAGTCTCCTTTGGTACCTCCCCAAGTCCATTCCTCTACCGCCTTTCCCAGAGGTCACTGCTATCCTGAATTTATGGCTAATCACTTCCACGGCAATTTTAATACCTTTGTTACCCTATGTATGTATCCCTAAGCAATATCTAGCATTGTTTTACATATTTTAAACTTTAAAAAATAGTATCATATCCTATGTACCCTTCTGAGACTTGGTTTTTGTTTTTTCCCCTTTTACAATGTTTGTGACGATATCCATGTTGGTACATGAATGTGTAATTTATTCATTTTCACTATTGTTCATAATTCCATTACATGGCTATACCACACGTTATTTATCCACTTTCCTTGGGGCATTTAGATTGTTTCTAATGTTCTATTATTATCAAAAGTGCAATAGTGAACGTTCTTGTCTGCATTACTTGTGTACATGTGGAGAAGTTTCCTGAAGGCAGGACACATGAAGGGGTAGAATTCCTTGGCCTAACAGTGGTGTGCATTTTTAACTTGTCTAGAGATTGCCAAATTGCCTTTTAGAGTGGCTGCAACATTATCATATCAGTATATAAGACTTCCCATTCACCTACAATCTTTCAACATTTGTACTTTTAAAACTTAAAGATACAGGGGGCAGCCGGTGAGCTCAGTTGGTTAGAGCACAGTGCTCACAACACCAAGGTTGCTGGTTCGATCCCCACATGGGCCACTGAGTTGTGCCCTCCATAACTAGATTGAAAACAGCGACTTGACTTGGAGCTGATGGGTCCTGGAAAAACACACTGTTCCTCAATGAAATTTAAAAACAAACAAACAAACGAACAAAAAACTTAGAGATACAGAAGAAAAGTGCCTCTGGCTGGGAGGAAAGGAAAGGCCTTAGAGAAGGTGAATGCTGGAGGATAGAGACATGGGAGGGGGCACAGCAGGTGCAAAAGCACAGAGGCAGGAAGTGACTGTGCAGGCACGGGGAAAAGCACATAAGTCTCTTTTCGCTGGAGTGTGTCCGGAAAGGGGAAAGTGAGGTTGGAGCTGGACCCCAAAGCCGTAGGGGGCATCTCACAGTAGGGACTACCATAGTCACAAGCTTTCTTTCAGGAAGTTGAAACTGGAAGCAAGTCCAGGATGAATGGGTGTGGGTGGCAGCCAGTAGGAGAGGGGTCTGGATTTGGGAAGATCATCCTGGAGGCTGTGGAAATAGCTCAGGGGACAGGTAGTATGGTCTGAATAGGGTATTTGCACGGAGAGGAGGGAACCGACTGGAAGGGAGGGAGGGAGACACTGACTCAACTGAACCAGATAAAGAAATCTGGGTCAAGAAGAAAAGCCAGGCAAGCACATTGCCTGAATCCCGGGAAATGAATTTAAAATGTCAACAATTTTCTAATCTGTGTTCTGCCTTTTAAGGTTGTTGAGATACTGCCCACAAATGCTAATACACAGTTCAACTGGACACTGTGTGCATTAAAGATGTTTTTAGGCCACTTGATGAATAGTTGTCTTTGGATTAGAGACAGCATGTCCCAGTAGAGCTCCCGGAAACGAATCGGGATGTTTGCCTTCCCCAGAACCTGCTGACATGGCCGATCATGGGGCTGATGAGCCCAGGACAGGGAGTCCGGATGGGGAGAGTCGCGTCTCTGAGGACAGATGGGCGCTCCATCAGAGGCTGGCCGTCAAGGAGCTGATCAGCAGCGAGGCCTCGTACGTGAACCTGCTCCAGCTCTGTGCCTTGGCCATCAGAAGCCGCCTGCAGCAGGTACCCGGGTGGAGCCACACACAGCCCTCTGTCTAGGGACCAGCGTGGTCCCAGGTTCTGAGACCTGACACCTGCTCCTAGGCTTGAGGGAGGGGAATTTGTGGTGGAAGTGAAGTTGCCCTGATATAAGACCTGTACCTCCATTTATTGGCCATACAACCTTCAGCAAGACCTTGGAGCCTTAGTGTATTCATCTGCTAAATGGGGAGAGGAATACTCACTTTGGAGAATTAAGTGAGCTAGTGGATAAAATAGCCCTTTATCAAGTTTAGAACAGATTGGTTAAACTGACCTACATTCTAATTGTCTCATTTTGGGGGTGTTGACATGGAGAAGTTATCACTATGATGGGTTTCTATTTTAGTGTTAATTTTTTATCTTTTTTTTCCTGATTTCAGAAGTTATACAGGCTCTCGCTATAAAATTTCAAGCATCCACTAGCACGTAGGCTCCATAAGGAAAAAGATTGTTTA